CTATTTAGAACAAAAGGAAATAATTCCTTCTGTAAACACCCTTTGCTTCACTCCTTCCAACAGTAGTACCCCATGCCAGATTTTTGTTAGAGGGCCAAAGAATGTTACAAATAGTGGCTGCCATAAATCAGTCTTTGTTTTCTTCGAAACAAATTTGAATGACCTTTTCTGAAATGAGGCTCGGAACGTTGTCCCCAATTAGAACCTTTTCTTCAGAACATAAACAGTAAACATATGGTAGACATTAGACGAAACCCTATCTTCGAAGAAGTGCTGATGGAACCGAACATATGTCCAGTTATAACGAGCCCCTGGGACTACATCACGTCTTTAAACTTTTGATAGAGATTGTGCCAAATGCACTCTACAAGATGACAAACGCTATATTGCTATTTCCTGTTTTTTCAAAAATAAATTTTTGACTTCTCTCACGTTATATTTACATTAGCGGCAATTTATTTACATTTATGTATCTATGAGAATTGACATTAATTTAATAATCGGTATTTCCAAGATTAATAATGTAAAGGTGAGTAGTCGAACTGAGAACGTAAATGTGCTTCTGTAGCATTACTCACCGTTTGGTTTCCTCCCTAATTACCTGAAGCTTAAGTTCCAAGGAGACCAAGATGCGTTGAATGATACCTCATACGTTTCGACTCGTGCACAGTAAGTGGCGTAACCGTGAGTGACAGATCCACAGTTACTCAAGTACTATACAGGGATTCCCCCCCCCTTAAAATACAGAAGAGTAAAATCTTTTCAAACATAAATTAGGAAATGCGAATAATATACATATTTTAAGTTTGTTTCAACATTGAGGGCAGTTGCTCGGCCCCGTAATTCCACTTCTGGCGATACTCATCTGAATTTGCTCCCGCAGAGTATCTGTAAATCCTTGAAACAAAGAACACAAGGTGAAATTGCTTTCTTGGACGTGGAAGAAAATCAAATCAGTTTTATCTATTCAACGGTAAATTAGTATTCATTGCTGATTTTCCGTAAGACCTGACTATTGTTCATGTTCCTGGCTTCTTTCGCGACCAAAGTGCTTTCGTGCATTCTACGTGAAATAAGCACGAGCATCAGCAGCTAGCGAGTTATTTACTACGCAATATACTAAAGAACGTCAAAAATAACTACTCTCGCAAGCTATAAAACAGCTGACTCCCTCATAGGGTATACTAAATTTCGTTTTGCTTTTTGTTTCTTCGCAGTCTCGTGGTTCCTCCCCTCCACAAATAAAACAAGTTTTGAAGACCGTATTGTATATAAACGTGAGGCGATTCAGCCTCTGAATGTGTTTTCGTTTCCGCGTTACCTCTACTTACCGTACACCAATTTGCATGTAACATTTATATGGAGGGAGGAAAAAAAAACAAACACGAAACTAAAACACCGCTTCTCCCTTTCTTTACCGAAATATTCGAGGGAAAAAATGTGTGTAATAGAAGGGAAAATTAAAATTTTAGGATGGATGTTCAACATGCTGTGTTGCTTTGTGTTCAACATACAGCAGTGCTTTACTGTATACTTGCGTTTTTATTTCTTTGCGCGAGGGCCAGTCTTCACGATGCTATCTCACCGCATTTCGCGTCTATCTCGGCCGTGTCGAAAATGTCCCGACGGTACAGAGCAGTGCTGGCGATCATACGACATTAGTGGCACGACCGAGTAAGACGCGAAATGTAAGGGGCCCTCACGCGCTAGAAGTAATAAATTAGAATTTAATAAAACGAGGTGGTTTTAGAAATGAAAACTCCAGTATAGCCATCAATTGAGGTTAATCAATGGGCAATAATTAAGCTATTTATTTTAACAAAGTTCCTTTTTCTCCCATCACTTTATTATTCACTTTTATAGTACACAAAAACTTAAACCATTTTCCGGAGCAATTTATTGATTTGGTCTTCCCTGTTTCCAAAATCACCACCCTCCACATAATGGTTGGTCTTCTTTCGCCAGCCTCCAGTGGGAGTGTTTAGCTAGAAACAAATCATTTCACTTTAGAACCTTCAATTTTTTCCCCAATACATTTTCAACACATTACCCATGCCATCCTATGCCTATCATATTATTAATTAAGCACTTACCTTGAATGGCCAGAGAAATTTAGTAACATATTTAAAATTTTTGCCAACTGTGAAAATCTCATGAATCAAGTCTTCAACACAAATGATATTGCGACCACCTATATAAAAGAGAAAAATGAAATTAAAATATTGTATTGGAATATTGAATATTTCATTTAATAACATCTGAATTTCTTTTACCTAGTTTCCTCTCAATTATTTTGTTTGAGGTAATTGGGATTCTTTGGGCGTTTATCTTGGCAAAACCCCGCTTGTATAGCAATTCTCTTACTGACTTGAGATTGGGATAACCCCATGTCACATAAGGTTCACAAATTCTCAGCATATTGATTGTTGCCTGCAATAGAAATTTATTATGACAAATTAATAGAACATTCACTGATATTAAAAAGTTTACAAAGACACCAAGTTGTTGACTATCCAAAACGTAATCTACACAAAAATATTTACAAGTGAAACATTGATTTCAACCAAAAAGTCACCTTCAAAATTTTTAAATCTCATATTTTTCCAGACCATAACTTAGGTAACCATTTTACCAGAACAGCATTAAGGAAACAATTCAACAAAAATTTATAAATTATGTAGCATGGAAACTATCAGTTCATCCTTATAACATTACAGAAACGTGTGGAAGTTGCAACTTACATTTCTGTAGAATCAAAGAACCACCAAGCGAAATTCCCAAGTTAGTCAAATTTTTGAAATTACTAACAGCAACTTTTAAAATTCTATTGCATAAATATTTTACACTGAATAACAAAAAACAAACAACCGCTTGTCTCTGTAATAAAGTGGATGTTGGTATGCACTATATAGTTGGTATACAGTAGAAGGGATTATCAGCCTGTTAATAAATTATTTTTTGAGTATTTAATAATTTTGTTCAAAACTCAAAATATAAAAAAAATCACACGTGAAAAAAAAAAGAGGCTCTTTTTATACAATTTTGGTTTTCAAGTCTGGCAGCCAGAAGCTTTTGCCTTCTGTGCCCTTTGGGAGAGGAAGGATTGATCATGTGCTGTCAGTGGCAATTTTTTTTAGGGAACTGCTCTGACCTCTGACATTCGCCCAGTGTTGATTGGATAAATATAAAAAGTATTAATCAGAGCAGTCAGCTGCAAGAACGCCCTTCCCAGTAATAGCTACATTTAACCCAGCTAACTTATGTGTCTCCCATCTGTTTTTGCTCATGATTATAACCTAACATGAAATATCTTGAGATGCTTATAATACAAGACTACATATGTTGAAGGAAGCAGATTACTGCAATTACCTCTTTGGAAATGGCCATAAGTTTTACTTCATTATTACTTTTAAAATACATAGTGAATATTCCAGCAAACAATATTAATTTGAAGATAAACAATTTAAATACACAAAGAAAGTTGGTAAAACAGTTCTGAAAATAATCTAGAGTGAAATATCAATCTAATGACAAAAACACAAACAAAATTATAGATGAAAACATTCATTAAAAATAAATTTTAATCAATTGCTTCTAATAATTATTGTGCTAAATAAAAGTTCATGATAATTTACAGCTTAATTTCCTGCAATCGTTTGAATTGTAATGTTCAAGCAACTGAAACCTGATGGAAAACTTTCTCTTGTGCATATTAATCCCCAAGTGGCAAAACTTATTTTAAATTAGGTTGACAATCTCACTTGTGAAATTATTACCAATAACATTATTGGCTGAATTGCACGTGATCCATAAAAGGAAGAACTGTTTTGGGCACACAATTTAGCACACTCAAACTTTTTAAGGAGATCATTTCATTCAAGGAATAGCCTTATGAAATACCGTTTGTGCTACACAAATTTCCACGTAAATTCCATTAACTTCACACAACTCTGGAACGTATAGAGTATTACCAATATACTTATGGAATTATCTATGACTATTTCACTTGTGAAATGAACTAAATTCTCCATGTATTTCACTGAAGCAATGGGGTTTAATCTCTCTGGTTAGAGCATTGCAATCTACCTTATGTGTATATTTTAAATTTTATGGAAAAGAGATTTTAAGTAGACAATATTTACACAGACTTCAGCTAGGCGTTTGGCTCAGTCAATCATTCTTTATTATTAGATAAAATAAAGCCATTTGCTAATGCTGGTCCGTTGCTGAACTAGTTTAGAAGTTACTCAATTGGTAGTCTGCAAAATGTGAAATATCGAAATTTTCTGGAATAGAAGTGCACTCAATAGTTCCTCAAAGTTTGCATTTGGGCCTTCTTTGTTTATTTTGCTTATTAATGACTTATGACTTATACTTGATGTTGAATTTTTGTTATTTGCCAATGATCTAAAGCTACATAAATACAAATCCTCTCAAAGACTTGACTTGCAAAATTCCATTAATAAGCGTGTGTATGGATAACTACATTTTCAAACAAGAAAAGCAACAAGCAATTAAATTTAACAATTAACAAAATTTACTTAGTCTTTCTAGAAATATAATTCAAAAAGTTTATTCCCAACCCCGGAATATGAGACATTTGGGTTATGTTGAGAATTCCCATTATTGTAATCGTTTGTGAGAATTGAATTGTCATGAATCTATTTGTAAATTGGTGTGTAATATTACTAGCCTTGTTACTGGCGAATCGATGTTTAAAGTCCCAAATATAGTGGGAAGAGGAAGTTTTCGCTATTTACACTCAGATGCATGGAACCAAGTACACACGAATAATCCAAACAAAATGTGAAGAAACATATGATGAAATTTGAATCTGTGACAAACTGTAAACGAGTTCAATAGACAGACCAGTGATTTCGTAATATGAATATATTCGAAATATGTAATAACGATGGCTGTTCTTTATTTTATTATTATAAAATTTTATGATTTTTTCTAAATCTGCACATTTGTAAAATTGTTCTGTATTTTTCTAAAATCGGCATATTGTAAAATTGGTATTACATTTGGAATTGTTCTTATAATAAAGAATAAATAAATAATTATCTGATATTTTCAATATTTGGCAAGTCTTGGAAATGTTAAACACAACGGATTATTTTAAAAATTCATTAGTGTAATAATCCTATGAATATTACTTTTGGGTTGGAAATTCAGATATCAATCCCTTCCTTAGATTCACGAATCAGGGATTTATCGAGAATTTCCAAAGAAAGCGCGGTATTACGTAGATAACAGTGTCCAGTTGCTGTAATGGTTCAAACCTCACTAGAAATTGAGTTATTACCACTGGAAATAAAGGCGCTTATATGTTTAATAATATGCTGTCAAAAAGATCTCAGAAAGTCACCATAAGCAATAAAAGATTTAAAAAACAAACCTGGCTTCTAAGGTGCTATTGAAATGTACTTCCAAGATAAAAATTCATAGATTCACAATGACAAAATTGTTTCGCCTTTGAGATGAGTGGAGGTGCAATAGCCTAGTAAGTTTTATAGGAAATCTGCCAGTCTCACTTTAGAACTGAGATGAACAGTAGGTCGACAGATGAAATACTCCTGGTGCAACATGCTAGGATATGTACAATTCTGCCTGATTAGGGAAAAGCTTAGGTGATTTGTAAAGGAGCTGAACTTGTGTAAAGACACTGCAAGTGAACAAACCATTATCAATTAGTAAGAATACACACGTTTTTTTTACTGGGCTATTGCACTTTTAACATTCAAAACCCATAAGAATTTGTAGAACACTGTGGAAAAACTTCCTTGTAAGTTTCAGGAAAATCCCATTGGTATCTGTCTCCAATCTGAAGAGTCTGCAGCACCTTCCGACTTTGGTCCAACTTGATTTACACTGGAAAGAAAATTAATTTCAACATCATCTCTAAAAAAACTATATCTAATTGCAGATATAACAGAACTTCTCTACATTATAATATACAAAGAGACTACCCTCCTCGCCTTTTAATATTACTACTCTGACAAAGATTTAATGCGGCTAAAGTAACCTGCACTCTATTCAGAGAATTATAGAGAGTAGTCGCAGGCGGCAAAGTAAGGAATAAATGGGCAGGTGAGTGGTTGCAGGTGAACTGGCGGAGGGCAGGTTGGAGCAATTACGTCCTGGTTCGGCATTGGAAACAGGATGGGCAAGAGTGGAGCTAAGTGCAGCGGATAATTGAGCATCTTGGTTTAAGCAAGCAAGCATTGATAAACAAGGACAGGAATAACGTGGTGAGGACATGGTGGCTTTGAAGAAGTGTACAAATAAAATGACTTCCCTTTAACATCTATAGGTAAAATTATTTCTTTTTGTAAATTGTAAATTAATAATGATAAAAAAGAAGGTGCGGAAGCTAGTCTTCGACCCGGAACAATGAGAAGCATCTGGAAGTGGATTCAATAGAACTTAAAAGATGGAAAGCTTTTACGAGAGCTACTCAGATTAGATAAGAATAGATGAAATCCCTAGAAACTTGAGGAAAACATTTCACAAGAGGAAGTCAAATAAGGCCTCATGGGAATTAAAAGTGGGCAGAACTAGAGCTACAGTATCCAATATGACAAAAGCAATCGATGAAGGCTGAGAGATACATAGAGCATTTGTAGATCTGACAAAACATTTGATTTGGGTACTCTTCAGCTAAACCCATTAATCAACACTGTCTTTTACATCTCAGATTCAGATGAAATTTAGCACATTGTATGAAGAATAAGAAAACTACAAATTTTGACTAAAATATTTTAACTAGTTTCAGAAATATAGCCATGTAAAATATTTTTATTAGTTTCAGAAATATAGCCATGTAAAATATTTCAAAATTGAGTTCCCCAAAGAATTTGGAATTGATATAGAACCTCTCCAATTTCACAAAAAACTGGAAAAGATATTATTTTGCAGTTTTCACAATGGTCTTTTATATGATATACAATTCAATAGGGGTTAGAGTTTTAAAGTTTTCTGAATTTGAATTTTGAGTTATTTCAAAATACACCGCTTTAAAAAAATCTGAAACCATTATTGTTTATGAACTGACAATGTAAGTATAAATTTGGGATTAAGAGTTCATATGGTAATTTTTACTTAAAACGCACAATATTTACTTACGTTCTATTTCAATATTTAAAATGCATAAATCTATTTAAACTGATTTAAATATTTGAAATGAATCAGCTATTTTCAAATCAACAGTGGCACATGAAATCTGGCAATTCTGTCCCCATAAATACACACCCAGAGAAATGAACTCCAATTACTTAAAAATCAGGGAAATAGGTTTGACAAGAAGATAGACAAAGTGTCAGAGCACTATGTTTAGAAAGTGCATAATATGTGATGTGCATTAGGCTAGCATGGAACGTAAGCAATTTACATAATACACTGACTTCGTCCACTTAAGAATTTACTAATATTAAGCCATCTAACAATAAAGTGGTACTTTTATTATGCAGCATCAACATCATATGACACAGGGCCATATTCATTGTAGTCACTTATAATATAAAAAACTTATAAGTTCCTTATAACGTTTTTCAATTCATAGACGCAACTGTACCCTACTTTCGCAACTACCTACCTCAACAGAAGGGTGTTGGGGGCGGGGGTCTCCTTAAGCCCTCCCTCAAATTACGCTTTGATAGAAATGGCTAAAACTTTCAGATAAGCGATTTTCATGGCTTGCCCTTCATATACTTTGTCCCCACTGCATTGTAATGACAATTTACTTTCAACGGCAAGATTTCTTGCTTCGCCTGCCCAGATTGAAGTCACAGCGAGGTTTGGGCCTTTGGTCCCCGCATTCACTGTAAACTTCGAGTCAATCACCACCTAATTTCCAATTCCCTTCTATAAGAAAGCATTTTTCATGGAGGCCTCCAGAATTCAAACTGCACAGAGCGGCGAAGTGCCGGTGTAATTGACTTCAGTAATTAGTACTGTATACTAGACGCCAGCCAAAAATATTTAAGCAAAGATTCATTTCACCAACACAAAAATTTACGTTCTCAGCAATATAAAGCTTTAATATACTTTTACCAAGTTCCACTATTTAAGCAATAGTGTAGGTTAGGTTACCCCACGAATGCATCCATTCACTAGTTCACAGCCAGCTTGATGGAACACTTCACGCAGGATTCAAGTGGCAACAAAATGGCCAATGCGCTGGTGCCACACAAGACGCTGCTAGCATCGTACTTATGTGAAGTGTTGTCTATGAATATCGAATGTGCATAAGAACTTCCTTATCAAAAGTATCTTCTTAGAGCTTAAATCTTTCCCTGTCCTATAAGTGACAACAATGAATACATCTGTAAACCGCCGTAAAAAGTACAAATGCCCACTGGTTCTTATCAAATTTATCATTACCTGAATTTTAGGCAAAATGTTTTAGAGAGCACTTTAGTTCCATGCCAGAAGGTCCAAATACTTTAAAAACTTCCTTTCCACAAGTTGTGTGATTTAAACATTCGTCCAGACATTGTTTTAGTACAATCACTAATTTTGTAATAAAATATTTAAAAAGTTGAACTAGGTTCAAGTATTCTTTACATCTTAATAAAATATATTCAGAAAACCCAAGTATTTTCAACATTCTTTTCTTCATTGTCCAATATATTAATAGTTTCTGGTATTGTTAAAACTAATAAATACTAGAAACTGAAACAACTATATCTCATTCCAATATGTTAATAGTTTCTGGTAATGTTAAAACTAATAAATACTAGTAACTGAAACAACTACATCTTATTCCAACATTTTCTCATGGAATTTACAGAAGATCACATGCATTGCATTTAAATGACTGGTTGGCCTATGATTAGAAGGATATTTGGAGCAGTAGACCTGAAGAATGTAAATAAACAAAAGCAGCAAAAATAAAAACCAAGTTATATTATAAGGTGAACAAGACGGGTAACTGTTGCCCATTAAGCCTGTTTTAAACAATCTTTTTACACAATTTTTCGCTGGTACAGAAAAGATACAGACCAAACTAGATGTAATTAGTACGAAAGAAAGACGCATGCTTAATTTTCCGGTACAGATTTTTTCCAGTTCGACTACCGCGCTCCTGGAACCACTTAACGGGGCTTTCTCATGTTTGTTACGCATGTTCATTTTGTAGTTACGCGAGAGCATTCTGATGCATTGTATTGCAATGTGAAGTGGTTATGTAATGAGAAATAATGTACTGAATTCTTATACTGTAGCATCCGTGCATGGTCCTAATAAAACCTAACTTAATTTGTCACCACAGATGCAATGTTCAAATGTTTGAACTTCAGCGCTAAATGCGGTGTTCGGAAGAAGTATTTTCTTCATGACTATGTACAAGGACAGAAATGACCTTATAAAATGCTGGTATCACTCTCATCCAGATTCAGCACCGAAATATACTGCGTAGAAAATAACATCTGTTTTCTATCCACTTTCTGTACAGGCGTGTAAGTGTTAAAAAAAAGGACCATGTAAAATAGGCTTTACACCTAGGTGTATTTCATTAACTGCAATGCTGTACTGCTCACAATGATCTCTAAAAAATTTCATAAATTAAATTCATGGTTCTAATAATTTTCACAACATAGAAAAGAAACTTTACTCACCCTCTAATACGGATGACAAAGGCCAGTTTTGCCTCGCCAGGAATGTAATAGTTGCCACGGCTCCTGGCTTGGCGAGCTAACCTGATTTCATCTCTTTCTCGCTGGCGATATTCCTTTATGTATTTCTCAGCCCTCTTGAAAATTTCAGCTCTGCGTCTCTTGGCACCTACACTTTTCTAATAAAAATAAGAAAATAGCGTGAATCAGAACTATAAACATTGAAGTACTTACAATTTTACAATTGTATAACTAACTTGATGAATCTTACCCTGAGAGCAACAGCAATCTTCTGCTTCCTGACAATATCCCGACGCTTACGACGCTTCAAGACACTTTCGGGAACGGCAGGCAATTTTGTAGGAACGCCTTCACCTGCGGCTCCTGGCGCCTTGGGTTGTTCCCCTTCTTTAGGGGTTTTGGATTTTGGTTGGGCCTTTCTGCCTATCATTTTCCCAGTAGGCCTAGCTTTGCTCAGCTTGCCACCCCTCTTTACGTTCCCAGATTTCTTGCCATCGTTTTTAACATCCTTCGCAGCATCTTTCGGTGGAGTACTTTTGGAAACCTCATCCTTCTTGGCAGGAGGCTCCTTTTTCGCAGGGGCGTCTTTCTTCGGTGCTTCCTTCTTTTGGCTGGAGAAATTGAAATCACGTAAATTCGTGTACAACATACAATATAGTTTCTACCAAAATAGTTATACTTATATAAGACAACAAATTTAAATTCGACAAAAATAATTCACATGGTTTCAACAATTAATTAAACCCACAAACGTCGATGGAAGTGGATAACATTAATCTAAACCACATGTACTTACGTGTCCGCCATTGCGCTATATCACAAATGAGGCCCTTCTTCCACCACGAGAGAGCAGGCGCGGAGCGGACCACACGGGAAATACAAAATCCGGAAGTTCTATATGGCCAGAGAATGTACAGTGGGACAAAATATAAGAACTTACAAACTTTTCACAGAGTATGCATAACATACAGATAACAAGTGGGAAAAACGTGGAAGAAGAGCATGAAAGAGAAGACAAGTAATAGTTAAACAAATGGCACAGACTTTCTCCTATTCATCTTCTATTTTCTTTGGTCTGGGCTAGCTTTTCGAAATTGCCATGCTCTTACCAGCTGCCATCTATCGCCGCCGAAAGTAATTTTTTTGATATTATGTCAATATTTCGATTTCCTAATGGTAAATCCGATAAATTACTTAAATAATATTAAATAACAGTAAAATATCGTCGTATATGGCAATTTTGGTCGTAACATTTGGAGTCGTTTTTACGAAAATGGCGATTAAGGTATCAATGCGAAATTTGAGGCTCTTTTTCACAGAAAACTTTTTAGTTTTCAAAAATCTTCACGTAAAGTCATTTGAAGCACTTCAACTAACAAATGCAAACATGTTTACAAATCGCACGAAATGTCCGTATTAACGGAGGGTATAACGTATTAACGGGTATATAAAAAATATTACATTTGTGTAATTGAAAAACAACAAAATAATACAATAAAATTAATTTTATATCATCTTAGCAATCTATACAAGTAGCACTGGACGTAAGAAAAAAATTAAGGAACTAGTGGTTCTACAGAATGGCACAGTAATTATTTTTATTTTGAAATTGAAAGTTAGATTTCTCAATTTAAATTTGAAATTTGTTCTTGTTATGGGAAACAATTTGGGGATTCAAGAAAATTTTGTCAGTAAAAGTAATATGAACAAATCAAACTATTTGGACACATTGTTTGTATTGTATGAATTTATAATTTAAAGCATGAACAAATTAAGTATTGAATTGATTTCAATAATTATTTATTTTTGAAGGAAGTCTACGATGTGTTAATTTGAGACTTTACATAGCATTTAAATTTAAGTTCCAATGTGAATACAATTAAGTCACAACTTGAAAATCTGTATGGAAATCCTCAAGGCAGAGTAAACTACATTCGGTGAATGTTTGATTGAACGAAAGATTGATCTAACGTTGAAATCCAAAGACTTGTTGGGCCGGTCCGGATGGCCGAGATCGGTAAGGCAGTTGTGCTATAGCGATCTCACACCAAAGTATCGCGGGTTCAGGGAAACTAGACTTAAATCTGATCGAGATGGGGAGGTCACTGACCCGGAAGCTAAGGTACATTAATTGTTACAAGCATATTAAGTCTGTTTAAAAAATTATACAATACAAATGTAAACTAAATCATTATATATCACTGTTTTGTTAAATAAACATTATTTTTCTTTATGTTGATTAGTATAGTCTCTAATTGTATAGAATCAGTTATGCGGCAGAAAAAAATTACTTTTAACATAAATTTGTGTACCGACTTCAATTGTTTTATATCATCTGGCAAATGTGTTGTAAAGTAACATTTATTGTATGTGGATTTCTGGTAGTGAGCTGTTGATACTGGCACTTAATGGTCGTGATTTCTACGACGTGTGTCGTAATTATAAATATCAGTATTGCATGAAAATATGTTCCCATCGTTAAGTAAGTCAGTTTTGACAAATATTACAGATTCGTAAATAAATTGTCAAGGAAGTGGTAATATCGTTCTTGACTATCCGAGATGAGCCAAAACGTCAGCCCAATTGAACGAGACGGATAGTCAAGAATGTATTGACTACTGGACCCCATATTCAATTGGTAAAGAACTGGAAAGATAAGTAATTAATGTCCTTTCGTGCCAGTACGGTATTTCTACTCTTTGAGATCGATGTTTAAGGTACGAGGTTATCCAATCCAGGGCGTTACCACGAATTCCATAAGAAGGTAATTTTGATTGCAAGATGTTACGGTTAATAACGTTAAAAGCTTTAAAACGATCTAAAAATATTCCAATGAGTGCTTCATTTTGGTCCATTGATGAAACAACATCTTTAGGAAAAGAAAAAATAGAAGTTTCCGTATATTTTTATTTTCTAAAACCGTGCTGTGAGTCTGAAAATGCTTCGTATTTCCTGAGAAAAGTTTCCATTCGCGTATAGAAAAGGATCTCTAATATTTTTGAGAAAACTGAAAAAAGAAAAATTGGCCGGTTATTTCGATTTTCACTTTTGTTCCCTTTTTTAAAAAGTGGCTTAATTTTTGCTGTTTTGAAAATATCTGGAAATATTCCTGTGCATAAAGATGCAGTGAAAATGTGAGTTAACGAGTGTATAAAGGCAGGTACACACGTTTTTAATAAACAATCCGGAAATTCATTTAAAGCAGATGGATATTTATTTTTTAGTTTACTGACTATTCTCAGGATTTCGTTAGATGAAGTTTCGGAAATAAACCGTGCCGAACATTTTTTGGGAAGGGAATGATGTTGAATTTTGTGGTTTTAGTCCCTTTGTGACTTCAATCGCAATTCTAGAAAAGTGATAGTTCAAGAGAATAGCCACTTTTTCCGGATTACTAACTTATCTTTCATTATCCTTTAAAACAACATTCTCTATTAAGTATCGAGATGATGTGGATGTATTTTTTACGTTATTCTACATTCTTTAGTTTTCTTACTAGCGTTTAAAATATCCTGATTATTTTTCATTATTTTTGCCTGAACTATTACTTTCCTTAAAATTCTTTTGTATTCTCGGAAATAGACATGGAAACCCGGTGATATCCTTTATGGTAAGAAATCTAATTTGACTTCGGAAGGCTTGCAAAGACATTTTTGGTTACAAATATGACAATAATTAAACTGAAGTCGGCAATTATTTAACTGTAATTCAGTATTCGGAAGACCTAAAGGCTGCAAGTAAAGTTAAGGAGAGTTGGATAATGACTCACATACTCGGAATGCTACCATCGAAGCTCTACCGCTTTCGCACTGCGTGGGACAGCACCAGTCCAGATGACATGACGTTGATTAATGTTAAAGGGCGCTTGAACAGCTAAGGTCATTGGCGCCCGTGACGAATTATTTTAAGAAAAATACGCACTAAAACATTTTTCATGCAAAGTAAAATGTGAGTAAAACTGAAAACAAACGTGATCAATTATTTTAAAAAAGGGTTGGCAGAAAATAATTTAATAACACTTTTAAATCTACAATTAAAAGCCAAATAATTGGCATAGTCCTCTTCTGTAAGAAAATATAGTAATTGCCAGTCTCTCGTAAGAAGCTAAAAATCTTGCAGAGAGAAGATCAGTCATTTCGAAGAATCTGTGCTAGAGAGCTAGCAAGGTGAAGCCTTCGGTGGCTATCTGTTACCATAGAACAGTGCATGAGAACATTTTCTACGGTAAGATTCGTTTCGCAACTATCGCAATTAGGAGGTGGGTCGCCGCGGAGAAGATGTGGGAGAAATGGCTGTGACCAATCCGAAGGCGTGTCAGAATTGTCTCCTCGCGCCTAGACCCATGACATGAGGAAGACAAGACTTTATGAAATCCTTGATTCTCGCGAGTTTAAAATCTGAGTTCTGCCACTCTGTTTGTCATTCAATGAGTATTGAGCGTTTTAAATATGCTTCGGAGTCTGCGGATGAGACATAAAGAATGTCAATATATTACTTCCGAGTGACGGTTTTTGTTTTGATCGGCTAGCTCATTGCCTGCGATTTCCACATGACCCTGTACCCAACATACTACTAATTCATAGTGGGAAGGTAATAGACGGTGAAATATATGTTGTATTGTAGTCAAGTGATCCGTGGGACAAAGAGTCAAAAGTGACTTGAGTGCACTTCGAGAATCACTGCATATAACTACTTATCGTGAGGCACTGATTCTATGTATTTCAGGGCTTGCAGAACAGCGAACTTCTCAGCAGAGAAAACGCTACAGCACGAGTGAATTTTGAATGACCGTGTGGCTGCTCTAGTAGAACGCACATGTCACAGAGTCATTTGTGGGAGACCCAGCAGTGTTCAAGAATGTATGATCTGGATAAGATGCTCTCAACTCATTGAAGTTCTTTAGATATGCAATGAGCAAAGTTGATGATTTAGGAAGATTGGATAATCTGATATCTGTTAGGAATTTTCACAGGTGCAAGAAGATTCAGGTTAAGCACCCGCAACAAAGTGTAGAAGCGGATACCAGGTGGTTTATCATCATGGACCATCCAGCTCCAACACTTTTGCATCGTACAGATTAAAATCTCCCGTCTTCGGCTAAGAGATGGTTTTCAGCTTTAGACAAGAGGCACTAGATACGGCTCCTTCCATTGGCACCTGTACTGATGCGGATTCCGGCATGGTGAATAGTATTGAGACGTAAAATTGAAGGTGACGCGGAGCCGTATATTATGCTGCCATAGTCCGAAACAGATCGAATGTGTGTCATATATAACCGAAAGAGACACGATCGACGCCTCATGAGGCACCACTGAGGTTGCGATACACATACGCTCTGCAGTTGGCGGACATGTTTTCGCCATGTCAGGCATTTTTCGCACGTCAGACCAAGAAAGGAAGCTGCATCAACAAATGGGAGTTGGTGGTTTCCAAGGAACAGATCTGGGTAATTATCCTAAAGAAGAAAAAAAATTAGACACAATTTTCGTTTCCAAAATTTCTTCCAATTCAATTCTCAAAGTAATCGGTAGACTATGAAATAAATATTCGGCCGGTTTAGATGAGTTTCCGGATTGTTTGTTCAAGGTTTGCGTATTTTATGTATCCTTATGCACAGGAATTTTTCCAAATATTGTTAAAATAGTTAAGATTAAGCCGCTTTTCAAAATCGGCAACAAAATGAAATTCAAAATTATCGGCCAATTTCTCTTTTGTCGATTGTTTAGAAATATTAGAGAAACATTTTTTACGTACGAATGGAAACCTTAGTAAAAAACACGCTTTTTCAGATTGCCAATATGGGTTTCAAAAATCAAAATCTGCAGAAACAGTCATATTTTCTTTTCTTAAAGATGTCGCCTCATCCATGAACCAAAACAAAGCACATATTGGAATATTTTTAAATCTTTCAAAAGCTTTTGTCGTCAATAATCATAACATTTTTCTTTCAAAATTTCCTTCGTGCGTAATTCGTGGTATTGCTCTAGATTGGTTATGTTCGTACCTTAAACAACGATCTCAGAGAGTAGAAATACCTTACTGGAATTGTTGGAATATTTACGTACATTTATATTAGATAAATTGCATTTACTGACATCTAGAGGATTACTATGTAAGTAGTGACTGTATGTATATAAGTGTACGCACGATGCGCATTCGGTGACTTGACTTTTTCAGCAGAAAAAATTCGCAGGCCATCTGTTACACCCGCCGCAA